TCCCCCCGTATTTACTCTAAAATTTAGTAAGTTAGCTAAGGAATTTTACAGGTTGAAAAACATGTACCTCAGGATGGTATGTAAGTAGATGGATAGGCAGCAGCTGGCTGGGAGTTTTGAGGATCTGCATTTTTGCAGTTAGATGTATGCAGCTTGGTGGCTTTTAGTGTTTAAAATCTTTAGTTCATCCAGTCCAAAGTCTGTTAGCTATAAACAGTACTTGACTCCAAACTTGACACTTCCCTTAATCACCAGAGGAAGATATATCCGTTTGTGTCTGTCTGTGTTACTGTAAAGTTGGATCTGCTTGCTTTACATATTTACTTGTGATCATGGGTACAAAAGGCCACATGAATTACAGTTAAGCAAAGAGTCAGACCCCGCTGATATTTCTACCCTTTGCAGGAAGAAATGGGATCTGATGCACAATGCAAATGCATAGCTCTAATGGCAGGTCTCTGACATATTCTAAGCGCTCTATCAAAAAGTTTTCATTTAGAGCTAGTGACAAAGACACGTTCATGGAAGTACGAATTCTAAAGGTAATTGTGTTTCCATTTAAGACACTGGTGCTTGGAAAGTTGTATACCTAAGATCATAAATCAGATAATCTTCTATGTTCATGTTTAGCGGAGTATTCTTACGATAGCTTGACACGCATCTTAATTAAATGTTGGAATTATAACAAGTGCAGGAAACAGGCAGAATTACTCAAGGCTAATTGGATGAAATTGATCCTAATTATAAAAACACTACGAAGTTTAAGCAGTATTTGAGCCCTCAAATAATACAACACAGTTTTGGTATAAATCAAGCTGATGAGGAGGAGTTACTGTATTTTGTACTACTCAGCATCGCATGGTTGTATCAGCTCTGGTTTCAGCTACAAAAGCAAATTTCAAGCTGCATGTAAGATAAAATGAGAGTCCTCTTGTTCTGTATTTCTAATAGACTCTATGTCCAGTCTAGAAATGACATTGCATACAAACAAATCAAGAGAAACAACTTCTCATCATAATGTGGCAAGTAACAAAGAAAAAAAGAAATCAGAAGTCCATCTGAAAGAAGCAAAAACGTCTTGCCAGATAATAGAGGAAGATACAAAAGATAATCGCACGTGAACTCTCTTACTGAGATAATCAGGTTCTGCCCAGAATTAGAAGGGTGGCTGCATCAAAATGGCTTCTGCCTTAAAACTCTGCACACAAGAATTCAAGTCCAAACTTGAAGTTTTGCCACCGATTTCTGTGCACCCAGCTCATGGCAAGGGATTAACTCCCATTTCTGCCAGCTGAGAGTATGATCTCGTACTTATTGATAGCTCTTGCTACCTCATAGCATAAGGTTTTGCTCTTGCCTTCAGATACTCTGTCCAACATCCATATTGCCTGTCAGACCACAGCATGGGAAGAATTTTTTCCTCACCTAACTATTTACCGATTTGTCTAATCAGAGAGCTTCCAGCTAAGGGATTTCTAGCTGTCTGCATAGCTATACATTGGATAGCTTCAACTCAGTGCAAACCCATTGACTACAATGAGTAACGACTGCTTATCACAGCGTAATTCAGGTTGGGAATGACTTCAGGTGGTCACCTAGTCCAGTCTTCTGCGAAGGTTAGTTTAACAACTCAGGGCAGTATACGCTTCCATATTTCTTTAGCATTGACCTGGTTGGTCTCCTTTTTACACTTGCTGCCTTTTTTTTTTTTTAAATCCGTTTCTCAGTACGGGCTTCTTGGGCATACCTACTTCTTGGTTTCTCAGTAGTCACTGAGCAATGTCTCTGACTCCAGAGGTTAAAATGAGTTTATGGTTTGTAGGTTTTGTGGACAAAGACAAAAAATACCAAGATGTGAAAAAGCATGACCCTCACTTTAGTAGAACAATTGACAATACTACCTATTTAAATACATGTAGCTTGGCTTCAGCCTGACCTGGATTCCACTTTTGTATTTTCGTTGACCTTCTACTGATTAGTTGGAATTTCAGCTCCATCTCTGTTGCTGATGCCAGCGAGTGGGACTGGTATCTGACATCTGGTTTTATTTTAATGGGAAAGTGAAAGCCTCCATGCATATGCTTATTTCTTTGGGAGCGTACCCACTCTGAAAAGACACGGTTTCTACAAAGGTGTTTTCACGCCCGTTCTGACCTTCTGAATGAGATACTTTGCAATTAAAGTACCAAGGAGCTACTGAAGCAGAAGTGACATCTTGCTACCAAGACCTGGAACAACTCCAGTAATCCAGTCGCCTTGTACCATCATGGCATGCAGTTTTAGCATTGCAGAGCTTTGTGACTGACAGGAGCAGGAATTGCAAAGTCAACCAGACTCGTTTCCATGTAGATCTACAACTGCGTTTCGTTGCTTAAAAATAGTGCTCAGCATCATTTCAATGTGTTTTAAGAATTTAATCCACTGAGTAACGTTTTCATTTGCCACCATCCCTCAATAAGTAACTGTTTTCTTTACATACCAGGGTCATTGTTCTGTATCCCTATTTGCAGAGGCAATGGCTATTCCCAAGCCTGTATGACAGAGAGAACTTTCATACAAACATTCAGTTGTTTGATGTGAACTAGATCTGCTGAAAGATTACTGTTACCTAATGGGCTGTGAGAGTTGGTAAAGCACAAAAATTTGTATATTTACATATCTCTGTTCCACTGGTGTGTCAGCCGTGCATAAAAATCTTACTAATACTGAAAAACTGAGAGAGTCTTCTCTAATGCAACTTTTGGCAGCCTGCAGTGCTGAAACTGGAAGTCTGGGTTTCTACTGCACCTATGGTAGAGATGTGAGCTTAGCTGATGAACCCCGTGTCAGTCTATGTGCAGCCACAGCTTAGTTACTGATCTGTTAGAGCAGCCATGTATGCATCAGCCCAGTCTCCTTAATGTCTGTACCATCTCAATGAAAAACTTGTGTACCATAGGAGCTACTGTATACATTTACGACCTTCCTTTGCTTGTTCTTCCAAAAAATCAGGCAGTAATGGGTTCCTGTTCACATCCCAGCTATGGCATCACCAGTTGTTTTTTATACCTACAGGTAATAATTGGTGTGTGGTGTCAGTGCACCCCTCTGAAATGTTTTCTACTAGCTAGATAGAATTATGTCTGCAGTTCAACATCAGTGAACCCTTAGATATTTCAGTCTGCATGGTGGATAAAGGCAAATGATCGTATTCTTCCGTTGATGCGGTTACTGAATTATGCTGGCAGCTCAGAATCAGTGACTTCACTTCTTTTTTGAAGTTGCTATTTAGGAAACCATAGATAACGGGGTTGACACAGGTGGAAGCCATTGCTACGAGGTGACACAATGAGAAGATCAGATTGTGGTGGCAAGGTGAAATGATTTTGTAATTCCAGTCCACAATGGTGTTGAAAACATGCAGTGGTAGCCAGCAAACAGCAAAAGCAGCAACCATGGACGCTAACAAAATATTTATCCTTCTCAGCTGAACTGCTCGGTTGCTGTATTCACTCTTCTCAAACATGTCCTTTCTCTTCTGCAGACGTAAGTAGATACGCAGGTAGCAAAGTATAATGAAGAACAGCGGGATGCAATATTGCAAGAGCAGTAAAGTGGTGGTGTAGATAAGTCTGTGTTGCTCAGAAGGCCACGAGTCGATGCATATGACCTTGTCAGTGGAAAAATTCATAATGTGTGAGAGCTGCTCATACAAATCATTAGACAAGATGGATGTGGTCAAAAAAGGCAGGGACATGAGACATGCTAAAGTCCAAATTACTCCAATTCCTAGGTAGGCTTGGGAGATACTTGGCCTCCAGCCAGTTGGGTTTATGATGAGCTGGTGTCTTTCCAGAGCAATAAGGACAAGGGAAAGAATTGATACTGTCACAGATGTGCACTGAGTGAAAGAGGTCATTTTGCACATGACTTCCCCAAATATCCAGTAGTCCATCATGGTGTAAACAACGGTGAAAGGCAGACAGACAAGACACATAAACAAGTCTGAAATTATTAAGTTGGAAATTAGGATGTTGGTGACGTTGGCCTTTTCCTTCTGCCTGGCGATGACAGCAATCAGACAGATGTTTCCCACAATGCCTAGGACAGTCTCCAAGCTGTAAGAGGTGGCCAGAAAGACAGTAAGGTCAGTGATGTTCCTGCACTGATTAGAAATGTGCGTGGGGAAGCTTCGGTTTGAGCTCCAGTTCTTACTGTTCAGGAAAGGAAAACCATCATTAACAGCCCTTGTCTTATTCATCCTGAACCCCAAAATATTTATCCGAAAAGGTGATAGTCAAACAGAATCTGGGTCTTCTGGAGCCAGCCTAAAAAACTTTTATCTGTTCTGTTTGGCTGTGGAAGATCTGGGTATCCCTGCAAAGGAAAGGAAAAAAGATTGCTTAGTTATGCTACAAGAATTTAGTCAAAAGGGTAGGGGGGACAGCGAGACAGGGAAGCAAACGCCAGGGATTCCGTGTATATTCTGCAGCTCCCTTTTATATAATTTAGTAGATCATAAAATGGAACCCTTTGCTGAACTGTGGTATGAAAGTCTGTTCAACTCTATTGAATGATGACTGTGTTTGTGCGTAATTCTGATTTTACAAGGTTCTGATCCAAAACTGAGCAGAAGACACATTGTGGGGTTGCATTGACCTTCAATTGAGCTAAACATCAATGTGAAAAGTACGGCATATTAGGTGCATAAAGCCAATACTAAAATATCTCATGTGAGTTAATCTGTGAAACGCATTTGTGATCGCAGTCAGAACCCACATTTGCTTGAGACAATCACCAAGCAAAAATTCAGGCTCATATCCTCAGGAGGGATAACAGGGGACAATTTTGAAAAAGTCTAAAATAATTCAAAATCATTTCAACATTTTTCAGCTTCTACACAGCTGTGATAGGTCATGGGAACTGCAGTTGAAATTCCCTGCTTCCCCATTCGGGATGAACTCCAGTGCCCATGAGGCACTGATGTCTCCCTCTGGGTGGCCAATGCGGCCATCACAGGGTTTTTTGGAGATATAGTCCAGTCTCCTGATTCTGGCTTTAAGAGTGAATGATTTTGACAACCTCTCTTAATTCCTTATGAAAAGCTTCTTGTTGATTCTCCCTCAGCATAATTTTGCTTTTTTTTAACCAAGAGAATGCAAGTGTTGTAATAGTATGTGCTATCTCCTGGATACTGTTTCTGCACAGGCAGAGAGGTCTGCTTCTTAGCCACTGCCGCAAGCCCTGAGCTGGCATTTCCAATGGGGTCTCAGGGAGCTGAATCCATGGAGTTAGTTGGGGCTGCACACTTTTGGAACTCTCAGCCATAGGACTGCCTGGACTCCACCAGATAGCTCCTGGGAGGCTGTTGTGATCTGCCATAGCAGAGCCTGCTTTATAATCCCGGCTCTGGAGTCCAAATCCTTTATGTTCAGGAATCAAAGAAAAAAAATCTGACTCTGCTGGGAGTTCTCCTCAGGCCAGAGGCAGTTGCATGCTGTACAAAGGCTTGTAAAGTGAAAAGTAAATAAATACTCGGGGAATGACACTATTTATCCATTTCATGACCCTTTCCTCAGCAATAAAATGCCACTCAAACAAGTCTGAGGGGTTGTGAAAAACTTCTGAGCTTCAGAAAAGCAAGTGGTCAAGATATGAACACATAAATAAAATGGTATAGTGAGTTTATCACTTTCTTTGAGTAGCATTTACTGCTGAGCAACTGCATGCGTAAAGGTAACCAGTACTGTACAAAAAAGTGTCCACCATACTACAATTTTTTGTTTGCCTTGTCTTTCTCCTTACAAACTGTATTGCATGCTTCTTGAGATGTTGCCTCTCAGAAACTAACAAAAGCAATAGTGTACAGTAAATAAAAAGGTGTTTGGGGATCATTGTTCTGCTTGATTATCAAAAATTAGTACAGTCAATTCTTTTCTTGCTTTGCTAGATGTGTTATGTCTCTATCTGTATCTATCTATATTTATCCATCCAATTCTTTTCTTGCTTTGCTAGATGTGTTGATGTCTCTATCTGTATCTATCTGTATTTATCCGTGATCTATCTGTACCTACTGTCTGAGACAGTCAAGACAGTCACACGAGTAAAATATAGTAACCTTTTCTTCCTCTTGTTCTTTCATTTCCTCAGCAGTTTAAATCTTCATTAAAAAGGGCAAAGAAAATTTTCCAAATTGTGGGCATAGGCAGGACTCTTTCTGTTGACTCACTTTTGTGTTGTAACTCAACTCGTGTGAACAGGTTGATTTATTTTCTGGAACTAAAAGAAGTGGCAATGATGATGTATGGATTGCACGGTCACATATGGGGAGGGTTGGTGCAGGGAAGAGTCTGCTTCAGCATGAACATGGATATAGAATGAAAAACCATGAGCCACCCCCTTAGCTTTAAATGATTGCTGGCCAGTGGAGATACTGTATATGAAACAGAGCAGAGGGATCAGCAGCCTGCAATATTATGTGGTACCAGTCAAAGGAGCTTAGTCTTGGCATTTGGACAGGACAGACTGTTGTAAATGAACACATGAGCTTTTTACTACAGTCCCAGCCTAGTGTCCTTAGCTACAGTATCCTCGACAACAAACACAGGGATCTCTTTTGTTGCTTGAAAACTGTGTGCTGAGGTATTACAAACATCTGTGCCCCACAGTGTAAGCCCTCTCAAGGGTCCCAGACACTTTTGGACGTGCCGAGGCGTCAGTGTGGAGAAATAATGTTGAAGCAAAAAAAGAAAGTAGTGGAGCCACCTGAAAAGCAGAAGTCAGATCCCACAGCTTTAAAAGGTCACTGACAAATGCTGTGTTATCTCAGCGTTTGACTGCCATTCAGTTTGGTGTAAATTAAGTGCCAGTAATAAGCAATCTGTACTTACTCTGTTTAGACGTTTGAACCAAATGTTAGCTAATATACTGAATCACCAATGCAGCAGGAAAAAGGGTCTTAGTCCCCTCGCTGTATCAAAGGTTTGTCAATTACCCAGTAAAATACAGCAAAAACTTCACGGGCTAGAAAAACAGCTTTTGCCTCCAGAAAGTGAAGCAATACTTACTTGGCTTATAGGAGTAAGCAGCGTGCCTCCTAAATCAGTTTGCAGAGGGAGTGGGTGGAAAAGTTGGATTGTTTTTGTTTGCTTGTTTGTTTTTAAAGAGGAAAGAGTAATCCTATTCAGAACCCTTAGTGAACTTCAGGAAAGAGGACAGTAACAAAAGCTACCATGCTCAGAAAGCAAGGGTTTTCTTCTCTAATTGATGCAGCATGAGGTGGTTTCTCTAAAAAGTAAGTGTCACAAAAGTCTGCAGCAAATTAACAGGATACAGAAGGAAAAAGAGCAGGAGCTTTCAGATTTAATCTTAGTGTAAGTCAAATTCCCCACTCACATCTTTTATAGACATTCCTCGCTCTGCTGCCTGTGTTGGAAGCAAGGAAAAAGAACAGGTAAGGTCTAGAAGGGTTTGTCTTGCTGAAAAACACAGCCTTCTAAACTAGTGAATGTCACTCAGGTTGTCTCAAAAAAAGGAAACCAACTGTCATTAGGCAGCTGGAAAGCTTTGCCCTGGAGGGCTGTCCTGTATTTCCTGGAAAAATTCCTCAAAGGAAAGGAAATTCTGTAGAGATTGGTCAGGGAAGAAAATGAAACCCTCGGTGGATTCCAAGGAGGCTGCTAGACAATAAGTGGCCCCAAGCAGTTAATGCATGACTGCCCTTTTGAGAGACCTCTGGACTTGAAGACATCCCATGAAAACCTCTATAAAAACTGTATTCCTGGAGGCAGGATAAACCAAGGGACTACTACTGATGTTGTGCTCCATGTGCTAACTGGAAAAGGGCGGGTCATTCTTGCAAAGCTAATCATGATCATCCCCTCCTGTAATCAAAAACCAGACTCCATAGTGATGGAAAGTGTGGATCAATTTCCACATCAAACATAAGCTGAAGAAAAAAATGTTTGCAGTGTCTGCCTTCATTATCTGGTACTCAGAAGCAATTGCTTATCTAGCTTAGAATGTACCAGTTGCTCAAGCCATCTTTGCTGCTTTCGGTCCGTAAGTCTTCCTGAGGGAAGCAATTCCTAAAGACTTGAACTGATTGTATTATTTACAGAGTAAATTATCTGGAATAAAGCAGCTATCATCTGCCTCTTACAAACTAGAAGCAAATGAGCAGTGGAAAGGTTTAACAGAACTCTGAAATTCATACTGCAGATTTAATTGAGGTGGTGGTGACTGACTAACAGTGGTATCCCCTTTTTGCTGGCAGTGTCATATCAGTAAAATAGATTTGCCCTGTTTAACCTTACATCTTGGAGAAAGGTTAAAAATCAGCTGGCTAGCTTTACAGGTTCCCAGGAAGGCAACACTTAATTAGAGGAGGAAACCTGCTACTGAGTATGCACAGCCATCCCACAGCAATGTTAAATCCATAAGGGATTTGGTACAATGAAATTTAATGGTGGACTCTTCATCTTTGTTTAACTCTGTGTTGCAAAAATATTGGGAGTGACTATCTTAGGTCATTGAAAAAGTTACATATGTTAAAAATTTCTACAACCTGCGTAATTAGGGTATAGCACAAGTTGTGTGTATTAATATGTTACAAGTCTACAACACTGGGAGATGGTATAAAGTGGATATTTTTTCCCCCTCTCACATCTACATGTGTTTTCAGAAGGAAATCTTTTAGGGGGTATGAACTTATATTACAAGTTAACCTTCTCTGATCCTGCAGAAATCAGGGAAGTTTTACAAAAGCACCTACTCTGGCTTTTTATTTTCTGGTTAAATTCATAACAACCTTATCAAAGACACGGAGCCAGCTCACAAAGGTAAAATATGACTAGCAGGTCAGCAGAATGGAGAATGGTAGTTAATCCCTGATCCCTTAAGAATAAAGACCATTGTGACTTGTCCTGTTCCCAAGAGAAAAAAATGGTATTTTTACAAAGGTGATCTTTATCAAAGGAGGTGGGGAATCCATAAGTCATTGTAATGGGCACCTTAGCAGACAGCCAGCTAGGACACCTGGAGGGTGACGTGATGTGTACAGCCAGAAACTGCATGGGGTGGGTAAGGAACGAGGAGTCTCGGGGACCAGGAGATAAGAAGTGTTTTTCTGTGCCCAGTGGTAACCAGGAAGGCTTTCTGTCACACCACAAGGTGGCAGGGAGCACACCTGAACCCCGAAGATCCCCAAGAAGTTGCCATCTCCCTCTTGCAACCCTCTTGAAGGGAGAGATGTCCCTTCAA